CCGAATTTTCGCCCCGTTCATCGAATCTGCTGACATTAGGGAATTGGGTCCATAGTACATACCCGATCCATATTCGATCGATTGTATGCCGTAGGACCTAGCCGTAGCGTATGTTATGTATGTTAGCGTATTCCCTATGATTCTAGGCAGTATGCGTATGTATCCGTATATGGCCTGTATTTTCTCGGAAATACGTAGGTAGAAAAATAGATACATATAGATACATACGTAGAAACATACGCCAAAATACGTACAAATTACAGTATTAAACTTCCAAAAGTGCGGAAATCCCTCAAAATCCGAGAAAATGTGAGGCTAAAGCCCTCTCTATATACGCCGGTAGAAAATCATACGCTGAGGGGCTTTTCAAATAGGTATACGCCATAGTCCGTATGTATGTACATACATACGCCTACGGCGTACGACCCAAGGGTACCGTAGCTGACACCAAGTACGGTACCAATCCGTACAAGGTACGTAGCATGAGGACGCATGACTTCAGGCTGCATTTTCTACGGTGGTCGACAGAGATGCTTGCAGGAGACTCGGCATGGGCATCGTGAACACGGATTTCATGACCGCTCTGATCTGAGTATTGGAGGGATATGTACGAGGATCCCGGTCTTGTGGATCGGATGAGATATATAGAACGCTTCAGTTGCAGAGCTTCCTAAAACATGGAGACGGTTGGAGGTGGCTGCCGCTATGCGACAGGATGTATTTTTGGGATATTGCACGCGATCGCTGAGCTGAGCCGTTCGATCATTTCATGCAGCTCACTGTCGTAGCACCCCTTGACTATTCGTGGACATTGAAACTGAAATCTTTTCATGCATATACGCAAATCGTGTTCCTTATCCAATCTCCAATCTAAGCAATGGTAGCAAGTTTGTCATGCATATCTTCATCGTGAAGGCCTGCATTGAATTCGCGATATATGAACTCGGTCTTGAACACGAGCCGCAGTTTGAACGAGCATGGGCCAAGACATCATGCGCGTACATTGCCTCAGAACGAGGTCAACCTTCTAGTGTGCAACTCGTTTGGATTTCAGCACCTCACGAGCTATACTCACTCAACTCGCTCTACAGATGTGATGGCCGGACGACTGGGTTGTCGCCATAATCAAGTGCTCCAACTTCATCGCGCGTGCCCCAATGTGACCTGGAGAGGATTCAGCACGTCAGGGGTAAAAACCACTGATGCAATTCCACGTAGCTGCTGATTAGCTAAATGGCGTCTTTCCGACGGAGCCAAACATCCGCATCTTTTCCGCAACCACCGCTTGCATGGCCTCTCCCGCGGCTCTCATGACGTCCACCAAATCCCGCGCCCCCGACTGCTGCCGCAGGCTTTCTAAGTACGCGGCGCGCACCTCCGTGTTGACGTTGAACTTGGTCACACCCGCACGGATGCACGCCTGCAAAAAGCGTGAGGAGCATGTTTACCGGTATGTCATTGAGTCACACGGTGTTGTGTGGTAACCCGTTTTGATAATCCCTAAGATGCGAAAGGACTTGCATGCCTGAGCGTAGTGAACATGCGGTGTAAGGACGGGACGTCGTTCACTGGCGGGCTACTGCCGAAGAATTTGCAAAAGTACCCGCAGCAAAGGTACTGACAAAACAATAAATTTTCGATCTCGCTTTTATTCTGCTCAGAGCGCCGGAAAATATAAGATCGAGGGCTGCCCTACCTTGACCAGGTCTTCCGGCAGTCCCGACGCTCCATGGAGAACCAGGGTCGTCGAGCCCGCTGCTTCTCGCAGTGCCTAAAAGGACAGCAAAACTTGTTTCAGACTCTTTCTAAATCTCGAACTGGGTCAGCATAGCGGAACGGCTGGCAGCACACGGGTTTGCCACGTCAGTCGATGGGAAGACGCCGGCTGTTTTGCCGGAGAGGTACGTGCAACCTGGTCTGGCATAGTAGGATTGTGATCAAATCCATTTGTCGAAACAACGACAAGAGAATGTTCAACCTCCGAAGCGAGTGACACACTTCGGCACGTTTGCGAGGTCACTCAAGTTCGGACATCTCGGACCGAGCCCCCACCTGGAGCCTGTCCAAATCGATCTTGGGCCCGGACGCCGGGTACTTGCCGTGCACGTTACCGATGCACACCGCGAGCGCGTCGATCTTCGTCGCTGCCAGGAAGTCACGTGCCTGGAATGACGTCAGCCGTTGAGTTACTCACGTCAGTAACTTGACGTTGGATGGAGCAGAGGGGCCGGGCAAACAGCTGATGAACGATCCAGGAACTAGCATTCGCAAGGACTACAAATTGCCCCCAACACGCTTGATGACGGCCCAGTGCCGGTGTTTTGAAACTGAGAGCAGAGCCCAACAAACTGTCGCCTGCCCCGCAGTTAACACGAGCAACCTAAGAGCTGGTGCTTAACAGCTACCCTTGTGACTATCCGAAGATGTAGAATCCTGTAGGTTCGGCTTTCGGACGCTGACGCACCTGTCCGACGTCCGTTAGCTTAGCCTCTGGACCTTTTCCCAGTGCTCACAGCCGCTTTTACGGATGTTAAAGTTCGACACAACAAGGAATCATGGAAACCGGACGCTGACGCACCTGTTGGACGTCCGTGAGCTTGGCCTCGGACTCTTGCCCGATGAACCTACTGCCGTCCCTGGTTTCCAACCCTCGCCCTCACGAAGATTACAGCCTGGTTGGTCGAAGGGCGAGAATGTTCGGACGCAAACCTGTCGGACGTCCGTGAGCTTGGCCTCGTACTCCGCCACTGCCAACCTACTTTCCCACCCTGAGAATCGTTCAATTCTCAATGGTCGAAAGACGAAAATGTTCGGACGCTTACGCACCTGTTGGACGTCCGTGAGCTTGGCCTCGTACTCTTGCACGGTAAGCCCGTCCTCCGTGCCCGATAGCCGGCCCAGCTCCGCCTCGACCGCCATGCCGCGCGCGTGCGCCGCTCGCGCCACGCGCCGCGTGTAGGCCACGTTCTCGTCGTACGGCAGGTGCGACCCGTCAACCATAACTGAGTCGAAGCCCTGGAGAAGGCAAGCTCAGAAGCTTGGTGACTGAAAAGCGATGATGGGTGTATGTGCAAGACTTTCCGCCAGAGGTCGTTTCTTACCTGAAAAGGTCAGAAAGGGAAGTAACAAAGGTGCCCAAACTTTTTCAAGGTCGCGCGTTTTCAGGATTCGAGCAGCGCCGATGGCCCACCAGAACTTTGTGCACGCGCCTTGTCGGCGCTCGTGTCAATCATACTCTCACGCAATATACCGGGGGGATTTCAAAGTGTCAGAACCAGCAGAACCCTCATAGCTCCTTCTTTGAACTACCTGGTTCGGAACTACAGAACCTCATCACATCAAATGCTAAACTCAACGCCTTGACTCGCCAGCACCTTCGAGATTCGGCAGAACCTCCAACACTAGCTTCCCAAAGCCCCGACCTTCGAAATCTGGGCCGGCGCGCCTCACCAGTTGCAACGCAGCCATGACGTCATCCTCCTTCGCCCCGTGGTCCAGGTGCACCGTGATCGGCACTGCCGCATCCCGGGCGGCCGCCAGGCAGCACGCAACGAGGGGCCGCCCGCCGTGGTCCAAGGAACCGGGGTGGATCTGAGGAGGAGGAAGAAGCGTTGGGGCATTTGAGGAGTCACAGGAATACAAATGGAACGGAACGAAGCCGGGGAACTTATGTTGGCCGCTGGCTCTTTGTGTAGAGGTCATTGTCAAGAAGATCAGCGGATGGGTGAAGTCTGTGAAAAATGAACGTTGTATTCGGATCGGAGGCCAGACAGCGGAAGTTGTCGAAATTGGACCCACAGAATCAACGTTCCAACCCATGTGTCACGAACACAGGACCTCTCCTCATCCGCGCGCTTGGGTCTTTGAAAGGCTGTGCCCAAGACTGGCAAGCCGACGAGACGAGTCGAGTTACTGCAAGCTCGGGCGACAAATTCGTTCATTTCCTCGCTGAACGCTGTGGGCTTTCAAGCAGATCGACTGTTTCTAAGAAGACCCAAAAAGGAATCCTGACGACCAAATGCTTCCACCCCCTGGTTAACCCCGCAACTTAACCCGCCCTGTGCCGACTCACTCAGGAACCACAGCCTCAACTCCCCCTCGTCCAAGGACTGCGACTCTCAGCCCCGAGCTCAGCAGACTCTAATCAGACCCAAAACGCTTTTCCTCCCACGCCTCACCTGCAATATCGCCGGGCTCTGGAGAGCCTCTGCCGCTGCCACCACCGCCGCGACGCCTTCCAGGTTGTACACATTAAACGCCCCGACCGCATACCCGCCCTCCCGGGCGCTCTCCAGCAGGCCGGAGGTGGTCGGGGCGGGGGGCAGAGCCCACGTGGCCACCACCTGTGCGATGGCGTCCTTTCCGCCGACGTTGCCTGAAAGAGGAGACCGGGGTTTTAGAGTTTTGCCATTCTACGGGATTAGGGTTATGGGATTGGCAGGCCTCTCATAGCAAGCTGGAAGTGGTCGGGGGTCGGGGGCGGAGCCCATGCACGTGGTTACGACCCGATCAATGGAGCCCTTCCCGCCGACGTTGCCAACGTTGTAAGAGGAACGATTGAGAAGGGGCGAGTCAGACCCTACTGCAGGTGTAGCACTCCCGAAGTTGACTCCTTCGACGCCCTTTCGAAATGTCGGCTTCAGGGTTTCGGGGTTGTCAGGTTGAAAGATCTCGGGGTTGCTCACCCGGGAAGACGATGTAAGGCACCCCGGGGTACCGACTCCCGGGCCCCAGCCGCCAGAGGGGCACGCCCGGGAGGGCCTGCCCGGCGACCTCCGCCCGCGTGGCGCCCATCGCTTTTACGGCCAGGTCGGAGGAAGTGATGCCGCCCTGACAGAAAAGTAATGAAATCTTTGAGACAGTTTCGCAGCGGGAACGTGCGAAAGGGGACGGTCCAGTCGCTCTCTTGAATGGTCTACTGCTTTGACGCGGCACGTCGTTTCAACCAGTACAACTGACAGCGACAGGCTCTCTTTTCCAGATGTAGAGATTACCATCTTATGAATCGCCTAGCGACTTAAAGATGGGGCGAACCAATCATGCCACGAAGGAGCCAGAAGCAGGAGACACACATCTCTTCCAAACCTCCAGAAGACACTCATTTCATCTTCTTTTCGGCTGCTGGCCGTAAGTAGCGCAACGTAAAGGAGACTGACTAGCTTACGCGGTCCGAACACAAAATGTGAACCCCTCCGAAGAGCAGAAAGCTGTTCTTTCAAAGCTGTGCGGGGGCGTTACCTTCGCCAGAAGATAGCGCGGCTCGACTTGGATCCGCCGCACGATCTCGACCACCGCCGAACTGACGCGGCCGCCGATTGCGAGGCTCGACGCCGCATCTGCGGACCACACGAGGGGATGCAGCGTCAAGGAACAGTCGGGCTCGGACTTTTGAGTCGAGGGAAGAATCAATACGTTGACATGCCTTCAGGAAGCAGTGTCCTGTCTTTCAACGGATCTGACGGCCCGTATGAGAGGTGCTTTGCGCTTCGCCACCGAAGCGCCATTCCTTTCGAATCCTGGAAAGGGATGCAAAGCACTGCTGTTCGTGGAAAGCCGCAATAAAAACCAATAAAGGGGTCCACAGACAACCGGAACGCAGAACTCAGGACACCTCAAACGCTTGCCTGGAGATATAGCCGGCCCGTCGGCCCGTATAGTGACCCTGGGGATCTTGATGACCATACCAAATCTGAATCGGGACTCTGACTCCAGAGATACCTTGACAATCTGGACCACAAGAAAGACGCAGCAGGATCTACTAGGTCTGCCGGCCCTACAGAACTCCACCGCATCGACCATTGATACCGACGTAAGCATGACACCGCTCTTCCGGCCACTCACTCGTGCCGGTCACCAACTTGCGGCTCGTCATGATAAGCGTGTCCCGGCCGCTGCGCAGGGCCGCCTCCGTGCGCCGCACGGTGCGTGCAATCTCCTCTTCTCGGACGGCGGCGTCGTCGGACGCAACCGCCGCAACGGACACCTGGACACGTGGACGGTCCAGAACGTTTACGGTGTCCCGTTCCAACGTTGGCAGGCTGCTAGTGCATTCAGTAGAGCGCTGTTCGACAAGAGCGCTCCCAAGCGGAACCGGGAACCACTTCCCGTGGTCATTCCAAAGCTCTTTCCATCCTTGGCAAACGGAGCTTCCTCGTTGACGTTCGCAGACAGCCTATGTCCAAGTAGTGCACGAAAAACGGCGCTCTCAGCACGCGAGCAAAAGAATCATTTCCATCCCCCCCCCCTCACTCACCGTCAGCTGCTCCAGCTCGTTTCCCCGCAGCCGCAGCAGCTCCTCAACTTGCGCAGTCGTTTTGGGCACGTACGACCCGACCACAATCAGGCCCCCATGCCCCCGGCACGACTTTCTGGTCACTTTCAGATCGGCGGGGCCGAGCGGCGGCCGCGGCTCGATCCCCGCGGATGCGGACACGAACGCGGCGGCCGTCCGGCAGAGGAAACGGCGCCCGGCGGCCTCGGCGCGGAGCATCCCGGCCGCGAAGACGCGCATGTCGCGCTCGGACGCGGCGTTAACCACGCACACAGCGCCCTGAGGGAGGGCAGATTCCTCACAATGAAGCAACTTTTCCAAGGGGTAGCAGGTGAGTAGAAAAAATGGCGCATGGTCATGTGGATGAAGGCAACGCCACCGCAGCGACGCGCGTTGACCATGCGCAGTGCGCCTCGTAGGTGACCGTCTGGATTCAACACCGGCTCTTGCATCCAATGTCTTAATATTCGGAGCACTAGATGCTGACTAGATTGCAGACAGGAGGAGGTCATGTTACAAAGGCTTTTAGAAAAGGGCCAAGCTGAAATGTGTGACCCCGGTAAGTTGTTCGCGATGCTCTAGCTCATGCCGACGAAATTTTCACACTGCCCTCGCAAGGATTTCTTGAACCAATTTTTCAAAAGAAGCAACCAATTGCCCCCGAACCTACCTTCTTCAGACTCAAGAGCTCTTTGGCCACCGCCTCTGGCCCTCCCTGCCGTATTGTCTCGAGTGAGACGGATGCCACATTGGCTATCGTCATCCGTCCCCCGGTCTTCTCCTCCACCCACTCCTTCAAATTGGAAGATCGGTACCCAAACGCGGCGTCCTTGGCAAATTCGGTCTCCCCCGCCGGGACCAGCCTGGAACGCAGGAAGCAAAGTTAGTTTATAAGAGCGCGAAGCGCCCACTTGAATTACCGCGTTTGCAACCATGGTTGTCTACGAAAGCACAGTATCCAATACATTACGAGCAAACCACCGATTAGGGACAGCTCCTGAATGCGAGCGAGCACTTTATTAGAAAGTGCCTTTATCCTGAAAGGCGCAACAGTCAGCATCTGACCATATTGATGGACAGCATCATGACTTTATCTTTGCAGTGCTCCCCATTTCCGGATCCCGACTGCCTTGGAAGACCCCAGCTGTATGTTACAAATGTGTTGCTGGAGGAACCGCAAAAGCAGAGCCAACTCAACCAGACATCCTTTCCTGTTAGCGGGCCTTCTTACAATCTAGGTCACCGATAATCTATGAATGAGCGTACCACCCTCCCCTTTTAGCATAAAAGAGAAACGAGCAGCCACACTGAGTCGCGTCATGAGCGACATTCGTTTGGAAAAAAGAGAATGGTACAAAGAGCAAACGAGAGATTGTTCTGTACCTGTCCCCATCCGCCAAGTAGTGCACGTCGCCGATCAAGTAATGCCCCCCCCGCGGGAAGAACGGCGCGAGCAGCCACACGTCCATCGCCCCAAATCCTAAACCCCCTCCCCCGAAACAACAACATTTATAAAAACATGCCCCTCACCTATCCCCGTCCGCCACGTAGTGCACGTCGCCGATGGTGTACCGGCCCCCCTGCAGGAAGAACGGCGCGAGCAGCCACGCGTCCGTCTCTCCGAGCACGGCGGCGGCCGCCTCGGGCTCCTGCGGGAAGTGCCCGCGCAGCGTGGAGTCGCCACGTAGCACCACCGTGAAAGGCAGGTGCCCTGCCGCGTCGGCAGCCGCGACCAGGTTGCGGCAGATCTCGCTGGTCAGCGCCGCGGCCTGAGGAAGGGCGAAGGAAGCGTTGAATCGCGTTTGCCAGAAGCGCAAAAGAATGAGTTTATCTTGAAGCTCCTCTTGGGTGATTGGAAGAGGAAAGTGCCCAATTGCTGACCTTTTGAGGATTGGCAAGCGAAAGAAGTTGTATCGGCTGGCCTCGAAACTGAGAGAATGACCTGGCCCCTTCCGTTCTGCCCTGCCAAAACAAGCTGTTGTCCTTCCGTTGAAAAAACAAGCTATTGTCCATCCGTTGAAAAGATTCTGGTGCCGACGGATACAGAGCCCCAACCCTGCTTCATCCAAACGAAGCTTCGCCCTAAAAACCGAAAAGTCCAACACTCAAGACGTTGCAAGCCTCCAAAAAGCACTCACCTCATCGGTATGCAACGCCCGTGAGTTCGTGAGCACGAATAGACACGGCGGCCGGCCCGCCAGCTCCGCCGTCAGACTCTCCACGCTCCACTCCGTCAGCACTGCCACCCCGTGCACGGTCTGCGTCCCGGTCGGGTCGTCGTCTAACACCACCATGACTGGCCGTGCCCGGTTCTTGGCCCCGACCGCTTCCTGGATTTCCGGAAGGGGGTCCTCCGGCCATTCCGGAGGCAGCGCGGCGAGCGTGGCTTGGAGGGAAAGAGTCGGCGTTGACGAGGGGGAAGAAGACGGAGCGGCGGCGAGGTTTGAGGGGTTTAATGGGAGGGGAGCCGCGGCTGAAACGCCGGCGAGCTTCTCGTAGACCTGTACAGTAGAAAAAAGCGGCCAAGCCTTACACTCCGTGACTTGGAGCAGAACACGACAGTGGTTCTTCTGACGGCCATGACGAATGCTTGTTGGCCGCTGGATGTTGCACGGGTCGTCTTTGTACAAGGACTGGGCGGAAGCATGCACAAGAAGCTTCATCCTGGAGGCCCCGGTCAATGCGGAGAAGATTAGAAGACCACACACTATACATGGGAAGGTCAGAAGACCTACACTTGATGCTCGCTATACACTTCTTACAGCCGAAGCTGCTGAGTTCAGACCCAGCTCAACCACATGTCCGGCGATGACGTACCTTGACAACAGCAGCATCGTCTTCCCGTCCGAAGCCAGCAGCAGAGCCTGCAGCCAACGGGAAAGAGCCACGTGTCACCTGCCGCCGGGCGGGCCTGCTATACCGAAGCCTTACGACCTTGAAACCACATGTAGGGCCAACACCGCAAGCCACACAGCCGAGGAGTTTCAGCCGCGTACTAGAGGTGTCCTCAGGCGCACTCTGGTATTTTGGCAGGCGTATAAATCGTTTGGAAAGTCGAAAGCGTGCGTGGCCCGGCAAAGTGACGGCAAACTTGTTGCGATCTCCAATATGTGCACTCGATAGCAGCATGGCTCTGACAGGGAAGGCACCTCAGAAGCAGACAAGTACATTCGAAGCCGAGCGCAAACGTAACGGCGAGAGTTCCTTAAATATGAATGACCACTGCTAATGGGGGGTCAAAAAAATGAAGGCTCCTCAGAGATACAAGGTCAAAGAAACAGCTGGGAACTCTAGACAGGCTTACCGAGGAGGAACAGCTGGTGGGCTTGGGCAGCCAGCGGCAGCGGAAACTTGAGGCTCTTGGCCTCGCCCAAAACGATGCCCTGCAACGATGAGCAAGCTTTGGCAAGGGTTATAAGCTTCGGGCTTCGAACTGATAGAGGTGCAAACAGGTGCAATCCCAACGGTTGAATGCGCCTTTGTGGAAAGGATCCGGCAAGATTTTCAAAAATGGGCCCGTGATGATCTCTGTCCTTCTCAAGGCAGTGCGGGACGCAAGTTCCTCCTCTTTCGTGGAAAAGGGAAAGCAAAGAAAGAGAGTTGAAGAAAGCTGATTTCAAGAACTAATATAGATTCAAAGCAGCGCGTCTGGGGACCACGCCAATCGCTTTAAGGGGGCGTCGTGTGACCCGTAACGCCTCGGCGACCACGTGGCCCGTATGCCCGCATTTCGGATCGCTAGATCCGGTACCACGTGCTTCGATTCTTGGAGACACAAGGACCAGATTATCTGCGAAGGGGCCGCCGCGGAGCCACGCGGTACGATGCCATCTTTCAGGAGCGGAGGGAGCAACACGTGTCGCACTCACGAGGTCCTTGACGAAGATGTCGAGCGCGGACTTGGGCGTGTAGTCGTTGTCCAGCATGTGGGGCACGCGGTTCACGAACATCCTGCGAAAGGTGAGTCGAGAACCTTTGGCATCCGGAAGCAAGAGATGATCCGAAAGCACGCATGACCTCAGTGAGCGGCAATCGGGCTCGCTGATTGCTTCTACGGTAACATGATACGCAATGAGTACGAAATGTAGAAAACAGATCATCGAAGGCTCGCCTCCCAGTCTCCCCGGGGCTCTAACTCGGCTGCTCTCCGAGTTCTCTACCGAGATTCCCTCTTGTCAAGAAAACCAAGAGAGCGTTCTTGCATCCCCACGAAGACCACCAGCATGACGTCAGCGGCAAGAGCCACGGCGCTCACCAGGAGCTGCCGGCGGCCTTGCTGATGATGTCATACAGCAGCCGCGTGTCAAGCCCCGCTCGCGCGCCGAGCGCGACCGCCTCGGCCGCGGCCGCGATGTGCACGCCCGCCAACAGCTGGTTCACCATCTTCACGTTGCTGCAGCGGAAAAGAGAACCGCTGGTTTAGTGAAGACGCGTGTGAGTTAGAGAAGAGGTTTCTGGCTTGCGACCCGGCAAGAACGTTTGCGTCTTCTACATTTTCGTGAGATCCAGCGGCGACGCGGATGCAAGGCAATAAACTTTGCAGAGCTGATTGAGCTCTTCGCATGTTAGTGCGAGCAAAGGTAGACGAAGCTCAGGCGAGTCGCGCACTAGGCTCGAGACTCTGCCTTCCCGTAAAAGCTGCTGATGTGTCCGCTCACGTCAGCTTTTTCGACTGAGCTCTGAGTCGATAAGGATGAGGCTATGGCGCACGCAACGGATGGTCAGCACTGAAGAGGGATGTACTGCTGCATTGGCGGACCGGGTTTCAATTTGGCTTTAGGCTTTTATGATTTTAGAGCTCGCAATGAATGTTTCTAGAAATGGCAGCAGGAGAAGAGCGTCCGGGGCTCCACGCTTCATTTCTCTGCTTCGATGCTCTCTGAGTGGGCTGTCTAGATATCCCGTAAGAGGGAGCCAGAACGAGAGGCCTTACCTGCCGGCTCCCGCCCCACCGGGGATGACGTACAGGTTCTCGCTCATGGCTGCACAAGCAACCCGCGTTGGAATTCAACGGGTACTAATCGCGATACTCGGAAAGAGACTCTCTCCAACCCGCTGAGATTCTTACCGTAGACGGGACTCGGGGAGAAGCAGGCAGCAATGCCACCGAAAAGCGCTGCTATTCGTTTCGCGGTATAGCGTCGACAAATCTCTAAAGAGGTCATAGCTTGAGCGCACTCCAATGAAATTTACTCTTACTCTTGGAAAGCAAAGTGAAAAGAGTAGCCGATTCATACGGCATCGTCCGCCTATGTGTGCTCGTCTGCTGAGTGCAACAAAGCCATTGAGGCACGCGGCTCTGACCCAGCGAAGGTCATCGCAGACCCCACCTCGCAGCACGGAAGCGGCGCCTGCGAGGGCGTCGTCGGAGCCAGCGGCCATTATCTGCAGCAGACGGGCGCTTTCGACGGTCAGTCAGAGACCAGATGGCGTGCAACGCTTCTGCTGAGTGCCCGCGTTGTTTTCCGGCGACTTTGCACGCTCCTTGGACTAGGTCCGTATGGACCTCAAACCCGCTTTCAGATGATCTTGGCGAGCTTCTGGTCCCGTTGCTGACTGCTAGGCTGCTGCGCAGTACAGTCTGCCGGATCACTACAACCCAACTCAGAAGAAACTTGCACTTCGTACCGAGTATTGATCTTGGTGCACCCCGTACCCCCTAAGGGTACATTCGTCAACGCAATGATGAGCAGGCAAGATCAAAAACTTTCTCCAGCTCTAAAACAGAAGGTCGAAGATCGAAGATTCTACAAGCTGGAAGACCAAAAGCAGGGAGCGGCTCACCGTCAGCGTGCCGTCCGCCGCCTTTGCAACGCCGCCCGATACCGGGGCGTCCACCAGGCGCAGCCCGCGCCCTTCGCCTGCACGGAAGGACTCGCCCGCTTTTCATGACGTCACCTGCAAGCCATGTGACGTCATGAAATCTGCGGACTCGCAGCACCGCACTTCTAGAAAAATAGATTCGAATAGCCCACGTCCTTCGCTGCACGGGGGAGAAACCGTCCCGTTTGCAAACGTCACCTGCATATGACGTCATGACTCTCGCAGGAGTGCGACGTGACCGTCCGAAATGGTTAAAAGGAGACGTGTCGAGCGAAGGAAAAAGGGGAACGAAGGGCGTCTCACCTTCGAGCCTTGATGTGAGGCTGCGCACGTAGTCTGGGGGTACAGTCGAGCACAGCACGACCGTCGCTCCATCCGACAAGGCTGCACAAAGTTAACCAGGTTTCAGACGCCCGATTATCAGCGGGAATCACTGAGCTGAATTCTTTGCCTCGCAACCGAAAGCCGCTTTTCCCGGACAGCCCAATGTATAAATGATTGTAAAACGCTGGTCGCTGAGAGTTGACAGGTCATAAACGCGCAACTTTTTTCAACAGCTCGATTGGCATGTTTTGCCATTCCAGACGGTCACTATAGTCTACCGCCTCTCCGGTACTTCCTTAACGCGAGCTCAAGGAGTCGTACCTTTCAGGAAACCGTGCACAATCATCATGCAGCCACGAAGCTCCAAACAAACATGTCACCATTGAGAAACACGCCAATGGTCCCGCATAAGTATACGAATAGTGGGCCGTAGAGTGTGGGGCTCGAGAGCCTGAATTTACAACGAGATTCTTACCCGGCACGGCGCCCGCCTCTCCAAAAAGCACCGCCTCCGCCTGGTCCGAGTTGGTGACCATGATCACCAGAACGTCCGCGCCTGTCCGGAAAAACAGATGTTGTTTTCAATTACTAAAGGTCTTTTGGTTGCGCTTTCAGTTACTTAAGGTCTGTTGGTTGAGCTTTCGGCTTCTCAAGTTACTGGAGCGAAAGAACACGGTAAGATCTAAGGGGAGCCCCAAGTATTTCAAAAAGACAAGTGGACCTCAAAAAACGGTGTGAGAGTTGAAGTGCAAGGTTCCAAAGCTAAGAGCGACATGGACACGGTTAGCTTAGACACAAGGTAGCACAGGCTTGGCCTGTGAAAAGAAGAAAGATGTTCGATGCAAAAGGACAAGGTCCCGTAACAGATCGACGACCGTGTGTATTTAAGATTGCACCCGAAGCGATGCAAAGACCACCAGAACCTCACAATGCGCAACAGGCAGTCCAATCGTGTGCAAAACCGGCGAATAGCAGACTTCGGCTGATGACTTGACACCAGCCCATACTTTGAGGCCCTGTTTTCAGCAGTTTCGAATGATGCCGCTGATAAGCCTGAATGGCACCAGCCTAGGAGCCTCACCCTTAGCGGTTGCCGCAGGGCTGCTGCCGGCGCTACCCCCGGCTGACGTCAGCCGTTCCACGGAAGGCGGGTAAACCTGTGTCATAACAGTCGACTATCGTAAGCACGCATCTGGAGCGTTTCGTCGGGGACTACTACTCAACGGAAATTAGAGTAGGCGAGCGGATTGACCACCAAGGCGGTAAGTTGAATGCCGGGGCCCCACTGTTCAACGGTATCATTTAAGATTGATTCCACCAGTATTCCAACCCTCCAGGAATCGATGACAAGTGAAGCAGAGAACGCATCTGAGCATCTGAAAAGTGAGAGTATCCTCGAAGCGAGAGGACCGAGCAGGACTCACATCGAAGCCGGTGACGTGGAAGCCCGTCTTGACGAGGTTGATGGCCATTCCACCCCCCATGGCGCCCAGGCCTATGAACCCGACCGCTGGTTTGGGGGCGTTTGGGTCTGCGGGAGGGAGGGCGAGAGGCGCTCGGGGGGGCTTGGGGGCTGCCACGCTAACGCCGGATAGCTTCTCAAAGACCTGGGGGAACGACAAGCGTTTGGGTTAAAGGAAGCAAATAACCGTGTGGTTCCGTGGCGGTCCCTCTGCAGTAGATTCTGCTGTGGTATCGACAATGTGGTACTGCGTTCAGTGACTCGTGTATAGGCATACGGACCAGATTGGTTGCCGCACCGTTACGGTTCCCACGACGCCCTTCTCAAAGATAAAAGCTTGAAGAACTGAAACGATGGTGATAACTTGCAAATAAATCCGCCGGCCGACGAAGACATTGACTGAACCATGTATACTTCACAAAGAGATGTTAGTGATTAAGCGAAGAATACGTGCGTTCTCTTGCGCAGAGATGCTCTAAATTTCTCCAGACGCAACCGTTCACGAGTCAACAAGGGCGCAGATCACCAGGTGGCGCTTGAGCGCAGCCCAACTGCACGAGCAGTCCTGGTTCTAAGCGACGGGTCCAGCTAACGAAGCGTGCTCACCCTGACTACCCCTGCGTCATCCTCTCGGCCAAGCCCCGCGGCAGAGCCTGCACCAGAATGCCCACGTGCCTTTGTAGAAGGCATGGAAGGTGACATAAAAGCCCGTACACAGCACTTTTGGTCCTTCCGTCCTATGACGGCATACTTTTGTCGGTGACATTGAAGCTGTAGCCCATGCCTTGAGGTCGCCGCGTTGCCACGTGGGGCATACAAGATCCAACGCCCTCATCAAGCAGCGTTTTAAAGCTTCAAGCTTTTGACACTTGCCATCAGGAACCCACCGCCATGGCTGGATCTTTTCAAGGTCCGGTTACAATACGGGTGGCTGGGTTCTGGTGTTCGCCACTGGGAGGCTCTTTGGAAGGGTTGAAACGGCGGACCAGATATGGGTCCCGGTCGCAGCCCAAAGACTGGTAGCACTCTGTGCCGGAATGCTCTAACAATGCGACCGTGTTGCCAACAGCGGATCGCAGAACCCCGTCTCTCACAAACCATCGCTTCATATCTTCTCGGAACCCAGACCCTCCCTTTACGAGTCACCACTTCATCCTTACTCGTAGCTATCTGCGGAGCTTCTTCCCTCGAACTTTAAGGAAAGGACCAGTACCAACACGAGTGTTGGATTTATCCACCCGCCGTCCCATACGCAAAAACCCTACTTCTAAGACTCAAAGGCAACAGCTCGCCCTACCTGCGAGAAATTGCTGGTGCGCCGCGGCGGAGAGGGGCAGCGGCCACTTGAGCCCCTTGGCCTCGCCCAGCACGATGCCCAGGTCCTTGACGAAAATGTCGAGCGCGGACTTGGGCGCGTAGTCCTGCTCCAGCATGTGCGGCACGCGGTTCTCAAACATCCTGGTCGGAGAGAGTGGGAGAACTCAGGGTTTCGGAAGAGTGAAATCTTGAAAGCATTCACACAATGAATGAGCATCGGGGGAAGCGTCAGAGAGTGTGGTGCCTGGGCCGGGTTCGCGGGAAAAGCGAACGCGAGTAGAAAAGCGGAGGAATGGCGCACATGCGAATTGTCAATGTCTGTGCGAATTAAGGCCCGAACGAGGTTTCAAAAGATATCTCTGCCGTTGCGCAGAGAAGATCGTAGCATCCAAGATTCCAATAAAATGAGGATCCGAAAACAATGGAGTGTCTTGCAGATCGACGGCCGCCGTCATGCTTGAGGAGATATTGAGCTCTCAACTTTTCCTTCGGTCTTATTTTTCGACACACCCCGATTCGACGTTGATAATCGAGTTCAAGTAAGATGGACGTCCTAGCGATCGCTGCCAACGAATGAAAGGTACAAAACGGGAGCTCACCAAGAGTTGCCGGCGGCCTTGCTGATGATGTCATACAGCAGCCGCGTGTCGAGCCCCGCGCGTGCACCGAGCGCAATTGCTTCTGCCGCGGCCGCAATGTGCACCCCGGCCAACAGCTGATTCACCATCTTCACGTTGCTGCGGCAAATAAAAGAAGATCGCTAGATATTTTCCAGAGCGTGCGTACCTAGCTTTTTGTATGAGCTTTGTGACGTTGCTGAGAAAAGGCAGAAGAAGGCACGCGACCCGTCGATTCCGAGCTTAGGTCTGTTGCCGCTCGTTACGAAGAATCAGCGTCCGTAGAGTATGGCAAATTGCGCTTCGGTTGCGTCATAAGACGGATAAAGAAGTGTGGCGAAGCCAAGATAGTCATTGGCCTTAACATCGCAACGAACTGCGCCTCTAGAGTTGTCAATTGCTTGTCTCATTAAGCCTGCGATGTAGAACTAGATTCGAGCAGATTCCACGAGGCTTCTGCACGGATGCTACTTGAGGATCCCTATCAACACTCGAGTCCCTCAATCGTTTGCGGGTATAGGTTGAAACTAAGACGGGTAAGCGAACGGCTCACCTGCCGCTCCCAGCGCCCCCAGGGATGATGTACAGATTCTCGCTCAAAGCTGCAGGTATGACGTCACCCAATGAGTGGCAGAGGTACTGCGATCGTCCCTTGTAGCTTCTACGTGATCTCACCTACTCGCTGACTGCTCTTATCTCTTATCTCTTATCTTACGATCCTGCCTCAATCTTTCGAATAGGCAATTTTCACGTACTTGCTGACTGCTCTTACTACGATCATTCCTCAATCCCTCGTTTCGGCAAATAACCGCGACAATTGAGGTCTTCCAAGAACAAGTGAGAACATTCTCTATTCCCCAGCCAAAAAACTTAGGACATTTGACTTTCAAACGCGGCTTTCACAGGGCTCGACCGCAAGGCAGTCAGGCTCGATCAAGAGTACAAACTTTGACACGAGCAGATTGCGAAAGAGCAATGGAGTGGAACCTATTTAGAGCGCTCACCCTTGAGAACCTGCTCCGCGTTTTGAAGCGCCTCAGGCGATCCCGCAGCCATGATCTGCAGCAGTAGATGGGCGGAGGTTGTCTTCTATCCTTTTGTGTGTTTGAAGGACGTAACAACAAGGAAGATTATGCAGCCTCGCTCAGCTCGGAAGGGACACCTTATACGCTCCAGACACGTTTATACGGAGCTTTGCTCTTGCTTGGACGATACTTGAAAGAAAGCGAGGTCACCTACGGCAAATCAAAACATTCGGTGGCAGGCACAAAAAGCAAGGAGATGGCAATCAATGTTCTTGGTACCCTTTGCCTTACAGTGAGCGTCCCAGCGGCTGCGCGCACCACCCCGCCAGAAACCGGCGCATCTACCAGCAGTAGGCCCAGGCCTGCATAAACCAATGGCCTCAGGTTCTGATCAACGATTTTGACCTCGTCCGTCAACTATGTTCAGCGTCCGTCAATGAGCTGACGTTCATATACTGCTCATGTCCTCCAATGCGTTGATTGAGAGGGCCAAGTCTGATTGCATACTCGTCAAGGAAAGGGCAGACGTTTCTTGGCAGATTGGGCTCACTTGCAAGTTTTCTCTCCAGGCCCCGCACAAAATCTGGGGGCACTGTGGAGCACAGCACCACAGTGGCGCCCTTTGCCAACGCCGCAGCGGCCCCCTTTTCGCCAAAAAGGACGCTCTCCGCTTGATCAGAGTTTGTGACCATAACCACCAGGAGCGCCGCATCTAAAGGAGAAGTGGGGTTTAAGATGTTGCTAGTGGGATAGAATAATTGTTGAAAGCCGCCTCAGCATAAGTGATTATTGTGACATGGGCGTAAGCATGAGCAGGAGGAGATGCAGTGAGAGCACCATCAGTGGTGGCATATCACAAGGCCAAGGCTTAAGAATGACACTTAAGTTCATATGAGGAGCCCAGTCAATCACATTCGTCAAGGCAAGCCGCCGTGAGCTGAACCAGCTCTTTGAAAAGAGAGGGAGAACGTGACATCGCAGTAGCCAGAGATGCTTGCAATCAGCTGAAGCCTCTGTGGGAAGTCTGCCCCGGATGACGTGAAATAGTTATGGGGTTCGAATGTTTTTTTATTGGCAGACGCTGGCCGTGAGAAGAGTTTCCCATCAGCTCTGGCTAGATCAGTCATGAAAACTTTCCAATCAGCGCTGGCTCCGCTAATAACAGGGGGGTCATACCTTGGGCAGCCTCTGCTGGGCTGGCGGCTGCTTTCCCCCCTGCCGCCTGCAACTTGGCCATTGAAGGGCCGTACACCTGCAGCGTCCAAACAAGCGGTCAAGTCATTGGCCCAGCAGCACAAGGAATAAGAGCCGAGACCGATAAGTGGTGGTATGATCAGCGAACGCTGCGCCAGGCTGTAGCCTATATTCAGAATGCACACATTGTCACAGCAGAGTCTACTTTAACCATGCGGCAGCTCGCCAACTTGCATAGTTGATGGCCCCTGGGGAAGCTTACGAGCTGAATCATTGATCGCATGCACATTGCAATTAGCAATCACAACTCACATCGAAGCCACAGACCGCAAACCCTTGTTTCACCAGGTGGGCCGCCATGCCGCTGCCCATGGCGCCCAGTCCAATGAAAGCGACGTCGCCGTTGCTGCCCGGCGCCGCCATCTTGAGATGCGCCTGAGCTGGATCAAGAGAAGGGCTGCTGACCCTAGAAGTTGAACGCGGCACCAAGGCCTTTGCAACTTGTTAGAGCTCGCGCCAACTTTCGAATGGGCAGATATCTCTCGCGTTGGATAGATTTAGGTACCTGCCGTAGCTCTCGCGTTACGTGCGTGGAACCCTAAAAGTTTCAGCAGGTTGGTGCAGGAAAGAATATCACCTAGCCTCCCACCAATCACATGCGTTAGTTGTAGGTACCACATGGCTGCACTTACCCTTCCCGGTACCAGGTGGGTCGCCGAATCTTCAAATTGGCCGTTCTGATACCGCATTGGCTCCGGCTTTTCGGAGTCCGCGATCGCGGAGTTGGTATCATCGACGGTCGGCAGAACTTGGATACAAATATCATGACGTCAGGCTGACGGCTTGCAAACAATGGCTGCCAAGCTGAACGAGCTTTCTCTTACGACCTAGCGGGCTGTCAGCTGCGGTATTCCTCGTGCTTTCCAAGGTGCATATGAATGCAGCTTTGAAAGCCGTAATGCATTCATAAAGCAAGCTAAAGAACCTTTTTAGAGCTTCAGAGATGCTCATTTGACCCTAGTGCCAAGGCCGTAAAGCGTATCGTTTGCTTTCGGACGCTTGTAGAGCTCCATATTTCACCTTGTAGCACACCTCGGGCAGGGCTGAAAACCTACCAACAAACACTTGATTGGTGTTCCATGAGCTCAAAGATGAAGAATCAACGGAACTCATGCACAGAAAGTGAATGCTGAGCTGCAGCATGGTGCCGCAGGTCAGCAGGAGTGAGGCGCCATGGCTTCCTGCAAGGCATGTCGCCTGCTCACCAGCTTTGTCCTAGTCAATCTCGACTTTTAGACGACGTGTGGTCTGCAAAACTTGATTAGGCCCCTTCTTCTTCGAAATTGCCAAATCGATCGGGCGGCTTTCGAAGTAGGTGATTCGATCGGACGGTTGCGGTATCATTTTAGCGAAACCCTCAGGCAAATCTAGATTCGGCGATCCACCTGTACGTCATTTCGGCCCTTACGGTACCAAAACCGGAATCATACCGGTCCCAGTATTGGATCAAGGGGGAAAGCCAGCTGGATGACGTTCACGGTTCAGAAATCAGCATCTCGCAAGATCTCGTGAGCAGGAGAAGCGCAGCAAGCAGGCTGAGGTAGGGCGCCTTGCAAAGATGGCAGGGCAAAAGGACGCCAGCCAAGCTGTTTTGCTCTCCTTTTTAAAGATTGCTCATCGTAAGCTGGCGCTGAGCTGACAGGGTCATCAATTGTGCGAGCTGTGGTCGCGGCTCAACCCAGATAGTGGGGATGGCCAGGATCAACATGCAGAATGCTAGACGCCCTCAATGGCTCTGGGCGTTCTCACGGTTGGGGGCCCTCCTGCTCTTGGTACTCATCCTTAAGCTGACAGAGCTGCGCCCAGGGGGGTCACCTTCGACTGAGCCCCAAACTAGAATCCTCGGTCGGGTACTCTTGCAGATTCCTGCCCCTGGAGACAAACCCCAAACCACCTCACTTCTAGATCAGATTACCTTGCAGAATTTGCAGCAAGAAACAAACGCTGGAAACAACAGCAGCGACCCTGGAGAAGACGCGCCGTGCTCGGGCGTGTGGGAGCACGAGGGCTATCCCGACATGTGCAGCTTCGTAAAAGCGCGCCCGAGCTGCCAGTCGGGGACGTTCATCGAGTACCTGAATATCCACTTTTGTTACTTCAAGCACGCGCAGCTCCTGTCGTACGGGGTCCTGGCGCTGTGGCTGGTTATTCTGTTCTATACGCTGGGCAACACCGCGGCGGACTACTTCTGCCCAAGGTATGTTAGTCTCAATGTCTTGTTTGATAAAAAACAATGGGTAGAGCACTCTGTTCCTGCGGCAAACCCTCGCGTTAGGGCAATGGGCTAGATTGAGCATTGGTGCAAAGTATGCCTCCCAGGTCACTCTGAGAAGGCCGAGCGGGCCACCTGTCCCCTCAATTCATTATTTGACAAATTGGCTGTAAATCTTAGGTCGCCTGTTTGTCATTTAAAACAAAGTCGCACAACCTTAAGCATGCGCAAGATCATCTTTCCACAAACTAGCGGGCCGCTGTCATGTGCTGTGCCTTCCCACTGAACAGACACTCTTGCCGTCCCTTCTGTGGTGACTCCATTCCATGTAAACTATTTGATGGACCACACGGCCATGGTATCTTCTTTCCCCTGTCAACTGCCCTACATTAGCTACTTGAACTTACGCCGCAACCTTGTCCCCCTCCTTCTTTTGCCCAGCCTGCAGCACCTGGCGGAGCTCCTCCACCTGCCCCCGACTGTTGCGGGCGTCACGCTGCTGCCCCTTGGGAACGGCGCCCCCGATGTGTTTGCCAGTATTGCGGCGTTTGTTGGGGCGGGCCAGGGACAGGTGAGGGCTCGGAAAGCGCATGCCTCTTGGTTGTAGAAGGCCAGCTATAATTGGGAACAGAGGAATTGTGGAAAGGTTCATGGAAGCCTTTTCCTTGAGGAGTAGTGGCAGGCAAGACTGGCAAACGGCGGGTCCACTCATCGACAGACCTGCCCCTCGCTTTCAAGCATTCCGATCGTGCGCTACGGTGCCCGAGGAACGCGATTCCATTTTGTTTTATTACCTTTGTTTCTTATCCACGTATTCGCTTTATCACAGGTTGGGCTCAACAGCGTGATTGGCGCGGGCAGCTTTGTGACGAGCGTCGTGGTCGGAACGGTGGCCCTTGTCGCGGTGTCAAGCTCCGAGGTGCAGCTGCAGCAATCGGTCTTCTTCCGCGACGTTGGTTTCTACCTCGTGGCCATCGTGGTGAGCAACTAACCCATGGTTAACCAGACCGGTTAGGCCCTTTGGACTGTCCCTCTCATCGTGGTTAGAGCCTGGCTTGATGAGCTATATTCGCGCTCTACTTTTCCGAGGTGAGTCTCGACCAAATTCTTACCGAGTCACTCCTGAAGTAGGGTTCATTGACTGTCTACCCTGTCTCCATTGTGGTGAAACGCCGACCCGATGATTTGCCAATGTCGAAGCATGGCTCTTCTGCACCTGAAGGTCCATTGTCCTGAGTTACGGATGGAGGACTAGCCTGCGAACTTGTCTTCGGAAAGCTCTGAGAAAAAGGCCAATTGCCCTCTTAAAGACGTGGGCCGTCACTCTCGATTGCGCGCCTGTGAATCGTTGGTGGTACGAGGCTTCCTCCTTAAACATGGCAAGATCAGTTCAAACCTCCCTTTTTGGTGTCATCTTCTTTTTAGATGAAACGGTTCGTGGGTTGCAGGCGTGCGGGTGTTTACCACATCTGTTGTGTGGCGAGGTCACCTTTTCAGACATTGCAAAACCAACTTGATTTCCGCTGTTGTGTTCTGTAGAGTCAACCTTTGATCATTCGGACCCTACCGGCACTGTCTACAGTGGTTTTCGAGGCGAGGTCACCTCCTCAGATGTTGCAAGACCTCTTTACTTTCCGCTTTTCCTTCTGATTATGCTTATATTGTCGAGCATTTGATCTGTTGCTGAGACGAATTGCTCTCATCGCAGGCGCTGTCCGCGATCCTGCTTCGAGGCGAGGTCACCTTCTCCGGCGCGGTCGCCTTCTTCTCCATCTACATCTGCTACGGCGTCTACGTCGCCGGCTCCGCGTGGCTCGCCCAGTCCGGCGCCGCCCGAAAGTGGACCTTGCTCCGTCCGGTGGCGTCCGAAAATGTCTCCGAGCACGCGGGACTAGACTGGGACGAGGACGAAGACGGGCTCATCGGCGGGGGGGGCGGTGCGTACCGGTCGCTCGACCCGGGGGACTCGGAAGCCGACGTCGGGGAGAACCAGGAGCTGAGTTTCGGGTTCAACGCCGCCGGGACCGCGCTCCCGCAGTGGATGTGGACGAGCCACGTGGCGATCTACGGGATGCACACCGAGGTCCCCGGGGGGCGCAGCGGGCGGCCGCTGTGGGGCTGGGACGAGGAGGAGGAGTGGCCGCGGTTTTTCTCGCTCCAGGGGATGAGAACCTACCTGCTGGAGGGGCCCCTGCTGCTGCCGCGGCGGGTGACGATCCCGTTCATCGAGCCCGACGGCTGGTCGAAGACCACGGCCGTCGCGAGCGTCGTGGGCGCTCCTTTTGTGCTCGCTCTAGTTTTCGTTGGAGGGGGGAGCTGGTGGACCTGGGCTGTGGCGGGGGGGTGCGGTTTGCTCCTGGGGGGGCTGGCACTGGTAACGACGAATGCGGAGCACCCCCCCAGGACGAGATGGGTCGCCACGCTGTGGTGCTCGGGGGGTTTCGTGATGAGCGTTGCGTGGTTCTATCTCGTCGCGAACGAGCTGGTTGCGGTGTTGATCGCGCTTGGCGTGATTGCGGGGATTGACCCCGCAGTTTTGGGGCTGACGGTGCTCGCCTGGGGAAACTCGGTTGGGGATCTGGTTGCGAACACGACGATCGCAGCACAGGGGGGGGCGCAGATGGCCGTGGCAGGGTGTTATGCAGGGCCCATGTTTAACATGCTAGTGGGCACCGGAATGTCACTTGTGCTTGCCAGCTGGCAGATCCGGCCCGCGCCGTTCCACATACCGAAAGATATTTCGCTCTTTGTGACGCTCGCGTTTTTGGCTGCTGGGCTGCTGTTCTCCTTAGTGTACGTGCCGCTCAGGGATTTCAGGTTGACGAGGACGTTGGGCATTGTTCTCATTGGGCTGTACAGTACGTTCATGATCCTCAGATTAGCTATGCTTTTTGGACTGATATAGTTAGTCAGTAACACTTCTTAGTGGCAATCCAAGTTAGACAGCAGACTGTGAGTCAATCAAGCTGGTTTCTAAGCTTGAAGCCAGGGCCTTATGTGCACGCGTTTACGGAACTACAGAAGCAGCCCGGCCGCACACCAAGATATTGTTTGGCGTCGTATTTGACGATCCATGATTTTTCTAGAGATACATGCAATTTTCAACTAAATATATACGTTTAGCCTAGCTCATATACGAGACAACGCGAAATCATTGATTGTTGCAATTTCATGATCTGGCCGAATTGAGACTCACGTTTCATGCGGTTGCAAGATGCATGAGCGCCATGTGGCATGCATGATGCGCGGCCATGCGCGTGCGAGCATGATATCTCCATCGACCAGATTTCAGCAATCGAGAATCCAGCGTGTGCAATGATATAATGCGGCGCGGCCCGCGCATACATGATCAAGTGCCAGCTTAGACGCCAGCGCCCCCCATTTTTCAGTTCGCGGGCGACGGGCCCAAGGCTGGACACGTGCGGGGGAAGGGGAATTTGGTGAGCTATACGTACAGGATATTCAACATCACAGTTTAAGCTCGACATTTCTAGCTAACACTTCCAACGCTCCTACTAAAGAGTCACCCTTTACATCGTCCTAAGCGTATCCAACTGTTTAAACGCTACTACATAAGCTCTTGCCTGCACATCTTATAATGCCTACTTCCGCCTCAAGCACCTTGCAACCAGCGGCTTTTACCGGACCGATGTGGCCGGTAGATTGATGACCCGAGCCGCATGCACAATCCGCCGCATCTCATCCTCCGACTGGAACGCCATGATCGGATACCGGTCGTTATCGTCCATGTGGTATCCGGCAGCCGCCACGTCCTTGTCCTTCTGCAGCCACGGGTGCTCCCGGAGCTGATCTATGCTGGGCCGCTGCCAAGAGAAAAGAATTTTCCGTCTCCGACTTTCCGCCATGAGGTACGAGACTTTTCTTGGTAGACGCAGTTCTTGTGTGACTTTTTACAGGCTTCTCCTTTAGTGTCAGCAATCATGAAACCCTGTCTAAGCGCCAGCTATCATCTCCTTGCCTCAGGCTCTGAAAGTTGAGCGCTCGGGTATCGTGCTCGGGCGCCATCTCCAGCCAGCGCCGCTCAAGGATGGCAGTCACGAGTCTCCACCCGCAAAACGTGGGAATGGATCCGCGGAGTGGGGTGTCTATCTGACGTGCAGCTACCGGAACCACCTTTCGTTCCAGAAAACCTTACTGAAGACATATGAAACGTACAGCCAGAAAAGGAAGGGGCACACATGAACCTCGACGTGGCTCCCACATGTCACGCTAAGAGTTGAAGGTTGGGCTTTCACTTGATTGCTTGCAGGGAGCGGCTTTCACTTACTTCCAACGGTTTCGTCCTCAGCGTGCAAGCGAGAAAGTGGAGGCACTCGGGGGAGACGCCCTGGGGGGTGACGTAAACGCCTTGCCGTATCCTCTGCAGGCAGAAACGATCTTGATGAGGCTGCCAAGCGAGTAACGCAGTCCTTATCATCTTCATGTCAGGTCTCTGCCAAAGCGTAACGCCATGCTCGTAAACAAAAGGACAGGAGTTCAGTACGCTGGCAGATGGTCGCCGAAATGCCAGAGAGCCCTACCTTCAACGCTTCAAGATCTTCGTGACTCTGGCAGAAAGCTGACCAACACAGTGCTCCTGTCATCAAACAGCACTTTTCCCGCCCACTGAGCCTCAAATAACCGTTCTGCAGTCCTTCGACAACCAGACTTGGTCAAAGTATCACATGCAAGCTTGGCCCCGCCCAGGATGGGACCTCCGGCCGTGCTCACGTTGAAGAGGCGAATCTGATCGTGCGGCGCTTCCGGGTCGGCGAATGGCGAGATGCCGGTGAGCATGACCAGCAGGATGACCGCCATGGACCACACGTCCGCCCTCTGCGTGCACCAACGGGCGGACGTTTAGGGGTTTAGGGTTCGGGGTTAAACGGGATAGGGGATTGAGGGGTTTGACGGTTTGGGGCTTGAGGGATTCGAAGACAGGAGCTTCCAGAAGCTAGGGGCGCCGAAGCGGAATGGAGCAGCAGGGCTCAGTGTGGGAGAGTGAGTCACACGGCTGCGATGAGAGCGACGGTCGCCGTTAACAGCGGAGTAACAACGGGTGTGCGCTATCCCGATGCCTTTGACAGTGACACAAGAAGAAGCCTGCGCCGCGGGGACGCGGGGCTCAGCACGGCGGAACGCATGGAAAGCGCGCGCTTACCTGGCCGTCGTACTCCTTGCCCTCTGTCATTGCAGTGACGTCCAGCAACTCGGGCGCAACAAACTCCGCGGTTCCGATGTACGAATTGGGGGTGGAATGCACGCCCTCCATCTGGCCCCCAGAAAACAGCTTTCTCATTTCACAGTTACAAAAGATGACTCTGTAAAACATGCGTTTGCTCAATGTGGGAGCTCCGGGGCTTTGGGACGAAGGTCAGCATCAAAGGATTGTTATCTGCTCGTCCCTGCTCTTTCACGATATGCACGCAAGTTGACTCAAGCTGAGATTGGATGACCTCGTGCACCCAGAGTCAGAATGAAGGGAGGACGTATGAGTGGGACCAGCGACCTGATGGGCTCACTCAGAAATAACAGCAACAAAGCTTTCCATTCAGCGACCAGCCGAGACAAGGCCAGGGTCAGCTTAAAGGCAACCCACCTTTGCCATCCCAAAGTCGCAGACGTAGACGACGGGGTAAGGCTTGGAAGCCTCCGAGACCTTCACCCACTTGAGCAGAATGTTGTTGCCAGACAGGTCTCGATGACAAATGCCCTACAATCAAGTTCATAACCTACATTTGTGTCTTCACAAGAATGTGAAGTGTGACGAGCTTGTCTGAAGTTTTTGTCAGCTGCTGAGGGACAAGTCGCAGACGGGTGAAGCCCGGGCAGGTCAACTGGCAACTTGCTGTCTCAAGTTCAGCACAATGAGATGGTTGATGTGGAAAGGCTTCTGATTGCGCTGACTTATTTCAGACGTCCTCCTTTGAAAGCTCCTTGATTTGATCGCCATGCCGCTCTCCGCCGCATGTCTACACACCCGCACAGCACTAGTGCTACACTGCACAAGATATCATCAGAACAATTGGCTCTTACCTGGCTGTGAAGATAGTTCACGATTGCTACTAGTTGATGGAAGATGAAGCGAGCCTGGAGACGAGTCCTTAATGTTAGCTGTGACGATCATAGGTTTGTCCATAACCTCATGTCGAAGTATAGCTTGTGCACATCTTGTAGGTCTCAATTGACAGGTTGAAGTCTTTGGCAGCTCTTTTTCTCGACCTGGCGACATACCAAATGACATTGCAAATCTCTTCAAAGCATCACCTGGCAGGAAAAGACAGAAAGTACATTCGAGCTGTTGACTGAAAAGGGTCCTCTCCAACCATCCCCCTTCTACATCCTTTTCAGCTGCACAACCACAACCTGGACAGGGACCTCTGTCAACAGCATGGAGTCTGATGCTCACAAAGGAAAACCTTTTACATGCCGCATAGTTCACTGCTGCCAACCATTTAATTCAACTCGTATCACTAAAACGCCCTTGCGTGCAGAATCGGCATTGCGCGAGCTGGCCCTCGTGTCCGCCCGAAGCATACTTCGTCTCACAATGAACGAGCTTATGTTTGACAGAGGTCCAACATTGGCCATTCAAGAAACATGGAGCCCAGGAGTACACCTCACCTGCCGCTCTGCGAAGCGGTGGTGTGGCCGCTCGGACAGATTCTGCAGCAGAGTCGTGCCCTCCACAAACTCCATAACAATGGCGAGGTGGTACAAAGTCAGCCGCACCTGCAAGCATTGGAGGCAGGGCCGGTCAGAAGTAGAATCAATCACAGAAAAGGATGTCGACATGCCATAATGTGCCCCAACCATGACTCTCAAGAAGTTGAAACATCTCGATGCGAGTGCCCAAGCGAGCGTACACAAGCGCTCTCAGCCTCGTAAGTCATGCCTGAAAAAAGGAAGCTCGGTCAACCAGCTGTCTTTGGACAGATGGCAATCTGTTCGCTAGTTTCTGGGGCCTTGAATGAGCTGGTCAAAATGAGAAGTTTTTTGAAAGAGATCTCGTGATCTCGGGCAGTCCACCAGCATAAGCTCTGCTCTACTCTGCCTGCAGAAGCACAGACTTTGCCAACTGAAAACAGACACATTGAAAGAGGATGTCGGTGTTCATTGTGACGCACCTCCAATAGCCGAGGAATGCACGGGTGCCTAAGGCGCCGGTGGACCAGTATCTCTCGTTCCACTCGTTCGTCAATCTGCAGAGACTTTGCAAAAGGCTTCTCAAGAATTGTCCTCAATGTAAAGCAACCAATCGAGGGCCTACCCTATTCTTGCAGCATTTTCAAGCAACACCATCTGAGTCCTGATCACTCCTGATTTGTACAGCACATTTCAAATGTTCATTTGAATTTCATGTTCTCCTTCTCGCATCCAAGGTAGACCAAGATTGCTCAAAACGAAGGGTCACAAGATCTATGAAAAGCCAACCCAGAAGAACTCCAACGACAGCGTACCTTTGTGCCCCCAACAAGAAACTTGATTGCGACTTCTCGGCCGCTCCGCTTATCTCTCATTCTTTGGACCGTGCCGAACCGTCCACCGCCCAGCAATCCCACAAATTCATATGGTTCTAACTTGTAAGGTGGATTCATTTTTGCTTTGTTGTACTTTCAAGTGCAAAGGCGCCACCGCTGGAATTGCAAGCAATTGGCGCAAAGCGTTATGGGGCTTCTGGAAATCGACTGATCGGGCGGCTTATGTTGTTTTTGGCCGGTTTGCGACACATTGTGCTCCCGATTCCTAAGAGTCCGCATTTATCAACCAATGTTCCAAAATCAGAAGGCTACAACGATGTGACCAGTCACTTTCTATTCCATGATGAGGTGAGGTGGAGCGCCACAAACTTCGCCAGCTCCTGATCGTCTGTTTGGCAACTTCCGCAACGTAGGCACGATACCACAGCTGGCACCTTTTACTTCGAGGCTGGCTGGCGCTGCTTGGAAGTTTGAAATTGGAGGCCCACCTCGTGCAGGAGCTCTTGCGCAGCTCTGCCGGGGCTAGCTGTGCCTTTCCCTGTGGCCCTGGCCATTTGCCATTAGCCAAGCTTGGAACTTGGAAGTTTCAAAATGACGCCATTGGTGACAATGGTGTACGCCTTCAGGCTTCACAGGATCACTGTTCACTGCCATCAATGTCATGCCTGTTGACAGGATCTGACCTGAGACCCTAGGTACCTATACGTAGGTATACCAACCTGCCCCCGTATGCTGAGCAGTAGGGTTCCGTTCCGGTATGGACACAACAAGTCCCAACCCTATAAGTAGGGGACCTGGCGCGTATAGGTATTGCCGTCTTTGTCCGCGGATACGTAACACAGTAGTCCATTTGCAGCCACATTCGAGGCAGCCTGGCATAAAACTCGTGTCAAGTGATGGATCAAACAGGAGCGGAGACTGGCAAAAGGCCTACCGACAGGCTACAGACTCGCTGCTTATAGCCCCGAGTGCGGCAGCCTTTGATTCTGTTTTAACCAATTTTGCGACGATGGTCCTTGAACATGTATACGTATATAGTGGCATTTGTCTCTAAGGGGCTTACTCGGAACCTTCGGGTACTGTAACCAAGATTTGAACCCAAAATATTTGCCCTGCAGGCTGCTGATCTTTAGCAACCCTAAGGCCTAACTACTTATCAAACCCATCCTACCCGTCCCCCGAGCTTTTGCAATTCGGAGGCAAGGGAACTGCCATCCTCATATATCAATTTCGATCTAGAGAGTCCAAAGTCCAGACTCCAGAGTCCCGAGGGCCGAGTTCCCCCACCAGACGTCGTGAAATTCATGCACGACTCATGCGGAATTTATGAGGTGACGCCATTGGCATATGGTCTGGACATGCGAGTTTGGACAAATGCCCCGATCTTAGATTCCTTGGCAATAATGCTCCACCGTTCGATCAGGTCCAACTTTGGGAGTTGCTGAAAGTTGGCAACTCTTCGATCCTGAAAGTGTCAGTCCTACCCGCTAGATCTGAGATGACGCCATATGGCTTGTGTGGAGCACTCCGGCCGCAAGGCACAGCTGTCTGAAAGATTCGATCGCGTGCCTATCCATTTCTGGCATGACGCCATCCAGCTCTGCGTCTCCCGGTTCTACCTACCGACCAGTTTTTCAAATGGTCGTCCTACAACCTAACCCAGGGTCAGAAAGCAGCGGCCGCCGCTGACCTGAGGCAATTTGGCTGCTGCTTCTGTGACCGAAAAAATGGTTAAGGAGACCTTTGTATATGGGTCTAACCGCCGCAAACAAAAGTAAAAGGTTGTTTGTTAGAACCCGGGACTGTGTCCCGGGGGCTGTGAGAGTAAGTCCCTCACACATATGTCGACACAATGGCGGCGGCTTTTGAGGAAGATGGGGTGAATTTATGGCGCCATGGTATGCCTCCTACGCGGCATCAGATTCTGCGACGAGAGCAACAAAGCAAACGTTCAGCGCACACACATGTACGTTTGCTGATCTCCTCTTCGCTGCTTGAAAGCACGAGTCTGTTCGCAGTAGGTACTTGCTGTGTACCAGGAAGGGCCTCCACCCCACCCTTCTAGGTAGTCGATGGTAAATCACAGGCAGAGCTTCATCATCCTCGGACAGGCACAGCTGGAAGAAGATGTTAGTAGGCGCCATCACCTTGGCTGAATGGGCCGGAGAGATGCCCCTCTTTTGCGCTCTCGCTGGGGGCCAGAACAAGATGCAGGTTGCCGCCACCCCCAAGCAGGTGGGCATTAGGAGCTCCTGTCTTGACCCGGCCGCTTGGGGACCTTAGGAGCAGACTCACGATATCAAGCACTCTGGTTGATTGTTCCAATCGATCATTGGAGAAGGTGCATTCTTTTTGAGGCTGCTCTTACAGTGGAGTTTTCCTCATACTTAGGGCACCTTCTTCTTTCTATTCCACACAAGTCCTGTCATCCCCCATAGGCTTCCTTCCTCGCAATCTGTCAAGAGCACGGGCCTGGCAGATCTTCTATAGAGAGCTTGGTAATCTTCTCTCACAGCATCGGGTCAGCACCCCAAGTTCGTGCTAAAAAGTCTTCTCAAGAGGTGCCCCCTGGAGCCAGCAGTGCACTGCTCCCTGCTACGCATAAGCCGAGCTCCGTCCTGGCAATGATCCTGCAAGCGGGGATGGACGATCGCAACCCCCCTGCGGCGCAGAGCGCCCCCTTCTTCTGGCCCTTCTCCAAGAGCAGCGGCAACCTGGCCGCCCTCCTCAACCCCGCCCAGGGCTCCAGCTTGGAAAATGTCGTCACCTCTGCAGCGGCAGCAGCCGCCGCAGCAGCGGCGAATGCCGCTGTGGCTGCCGTGTTCTCGGCTGCTGGAATGCCGAATCCTGTGAGCCAGGAGGCCCAGCAGCGAGGCGGGGGGGGAGCGATCATCCGACCCGAGCCTTCTTTGGCTGCCCCAAAGAACTCGTCAGGCATGGAGGAGATGCGGCAGAGCACAACGCAGTCCCTGCTTGACACGCTGCAGGCTGCACTGAACAGCCAGAAGGAGGAGGGGACTGCTGGGGTCGAGAAAGACGGGAATCTAGAGCTGCAGCCAAACCTGGGGCTCTCGCTGGACCTGACCCGCTCCCAGAGCAGCACGCAGAACGCCTTTCTGGCAGCATTCCAGGCAGCAAACGGGGCCGCAAAGCGTGCCCCTGACGGCCCCTCTTCCCACAATGCGCGGTCTGAGGGCTCCGATGCTCTTTTGACAAAGCTGCAGCTGGCATTGAAAGCTTCCTCGAAGCGGGATGAGGGCGGGGCAGGTCCCGTCCATGCTGAGCGCGACCTGATGTCAGCGCTGGAGGGGGGCCCTCGTGGAAAAAGCGCAGAGGGGGGGAAGAAGAACGACCAAGTGCAGCACGACCGCAGGGCAGTGTTGTGGGAGGAGGCATGCGAGGAGGAGGAACGAGGCGTGGGGGTTGCTGCAATTGACGCGAACGGCCGGTCGCTTGGCAAGTCGGGGTCGGGGTTTGGCAAGTCGGGGTCAGGATACAGCAGCAAGGGGGGCGGCTCGGGGGTGATCTGGCCAGACCAGGATGGGCAAGTGGCGGACCCCATCGAGCTGAGCAAGCGCAGCGCCAGCATTGCATGGCCCGAGGACAGCGCCCGGAAGAAGGGGGGCGAGCCCTGGTTAGCGCGCCTGTCGTCGGGAGATCCCGAGGGGAAACTAGACGCAGTGCAGAATGGCGACGGGCCCCCCAAGGCAAAGGGGACATACACGGAGCAGCACCGTGCGGAGCAGGCGCTGCGGACGCTGGCGCAGATGGCCGGGGGCCGGGACGGGGGCCCCGCTTCGCTTGGGCCGTCGCCAGCGTCGTTTTCTCTCTCCCTAGGGGACATCCAGCAGCAGTTTGCTTCACCCTCGGGGGGAAAAAGCAACACGGCCCTCGCCCCCCTGACGCTCGCCACAGCGTCGCTGCGCCGGCTGCTTGGGTTGGGCCCACTGCAAAGCCCCGACGCTGGCAAGAGCAGTGACGTGCATTTCGATCGGAATGGGGGGCATGCAGACGGCCGCCCAGAGGACGATGTCAAGTCGCCGTTTGAGTTGAACCCCCTGCTGCGTGCTGGGGGCAGTGGCCCTGCCTCTGTGGGGGGGGGGAGCGCTGCAGGAACGCCGACTGTGGTTGGGTTCAAGCGAGAGCGACTGGAAAGCATTGAGCGATACAAGGAGAAGCGGCGAAGGCGGCAGCTCAACGTGACCGAGTCGAAGCAAAGCGACCGATCCGATGAGGAGGACGGGGGGGGAGGAGACGAGCCAAAGAAGGGGGGTAGGGATGAGCCAGCGAGGTCGCCGACGCCCCCCCGGATGCGGGGCCCGATGCCGAGCCCCAGCCCGAAGGGGGAGGAGCGATCGGCGACACCTCCCCCGAGCCGAGAGGGATCCCCCGGCGTGACGGTGGCTCAGCCGGCTGGGGGGCGCAGGAGACGGTTGGCGCAGCTTCCGCTAGACGAGGCTAAGGCGAAGAACGTGATGGCGCACCGAGCGTCGGCGGCGCGGAGCAATGCAAAGAAGAAGGTGAGTGCTTGCTGAGGAGGTGGTGATTTAGGACCATTGGTGTATGCTTTCCGTGCAGGATTGAGAAGGCTGTAATTAACTGCTCAGTTGTGCTGCCTGCTGGACGAGTGTCCGTAGCTTAGTCAGCTCTTGGTGTACGACTGAACCCATCTCACAGATTAAGTGTAAAGGATGAGGATCATTTGAGGTGGGAGGGTGGCTTTGGTTTGTCCTGTTCCACAAGCGTCAAAGACGCACTTTGCAGCAATTTAGAGACTGCTTGCGGTGTTACCTCAGTACTAAGAAGGGCTGTGTATTATTTTGAACTGTTGTCTCTGGTTAATAATGATTGTCTGTTGACCACTGCGCGGCTGGCCAGGCGTCTTTTCGCGTGTTCTTTCTACTCTGCGAAAGTTTGCATTGCGTTGCATCTGATGAAACAAGGTCATCTGCCGCGAATGGAAAGGGCAGCCCACTATACAGAGTGCATACGCAGTCCTGCTCGTCCCTCAGCAGGAGCCACTCTGCATCTGAGCTCATTCTCAAGAGCACCCATGTCACCCATGTCATTCGTCATTGATGCGATTGTGTTTGAAGTGACAGTCAGCACAAGCCCTTGTGGATTGGGGCTGTCACTTAGTATATACTCACTCATGCAACGCGTTTTGGCTCTTTGCATCCCTGATTCGGGTCAGCAAACCAGACACTCAACTAAAGCAAAGAAAGCAGCTTCACTTTTTTCTCTGCTTCTGTTTTGCAGTGACCTAGAGTGTGCTGCGTCTGCGGTTCGTGGATTAGTGAAAAACGCTCTCTTTCACCATATCCCTCGAACAAGTACGCACCTGATACACATCCATTTGACCACGCTGAGTTGAAAGATGCAATATCGAGCTTGGCCCATGGTCGTAGTTTCTCGCGGGCGCCCAAGTCTAACGGCGCGCTTCTTCCCCCAGGCCGCCCTGGAGCGCGTGCAACGTCTGGAGGCCATGCTAGGCCCCGTGCGGGCGGCGCTGATCGGCGCGTGCGAGCGGGACGACGAACTGAAGCAGCTGCTGCTCAAGCGGGCGGGCTCAAAGGTGGACGCGCTGTCCAAGTTTGTGGACGGGGAGCAGTCGCTGGACGACCTGTTGCAGGTGCGCGTCCGGACGTCCGGACTGGCTGCCGCTGTCCTTTCGAATTCAGTCGCGTTTCTCTCGATGCCATAGACCGGTTGAACTCTTGACGCGTTGCTAAATCCGTTTGGGGTTGCGGCCGGTTTGTCTTGATGCGATGGGACGTCCAGAGTCTTCAGCGCAGTCATCAGTCGGCCTGCGGTTTGCAGTCGGTCCCTTGTCGAAGCACCATAAGGTGTCGTCGAGATGCAATCTTGCACCTTGTTTGTCGTCGACAAGTCCTTAGATCCGGTCCGCCACGCTCGACGTTTGGTGAAACGAACGTGCGTCATTCGTTATCGAAAACCGTTCGCGTGAGGCAGGCTGATAGGTTCCAGGTTGTCTCAAAACCAGGAGGCCGGTCTCAAATGGGCGATTCGTACGCTAAGTGGAGCCGTGCTTCTTTTCCTACATGCTCTTGGTGGCATCTTTTAGTGCTCACGATAGACGAATGCCTTCGGAATCCATCTCATCATGAGGGGAAGCTTGGCGGGTGGGAGTCTAAGATGCAAGTGCAGTCGAGCCTGATACGTGGGCCGCTTACATATGGTAGAAAACCACCCTTGTGTTGTTTGTCCTGGTTATGAATCCGGACCCGTCACTGAACAGTTTTGCAAGTCTGATCGTTCCGGTCTCTCTCCTTTTGCAGGCCACAAGTATAAGTAGTAAAAAGTGACATGTACATAGGTTGCAGCATGCTGAAGCAAATTGACAGCACCATCGCTTGTGTACTAGAGTAACTTGGAAGTCGGAAGTTGTCAGAAAGGAATTTGTGCCAGGTACTAAGAAAACAGCTTGTTGGCTGAAAATCGCCAGAATAGTCCGATGACTTTTTCAATAGCAACTGCATTATAATGATTGTTCTCCTGAGTTCGGCTGATTTCCTAGTGGGTCGAAACTATAGTGATGCGTCACACTTTGTCAAGTCCAATGGTCTCTTTTCGTACTCGCCGTAGCCAAATCGGCCATAGGCTTCTCATGGCTTACATGTTTGAATATTGTGTCTCTTGGTCCTACTACTAGTACCTCGATCCTCCATTGAGCTCTATATCAATCGACAACATATATGCACGCGCTGCATATGGTCGAAGCCGGGTACGTTGCATGTGCATGCATGGCCGGGTCCATGCATGCATGGACTCAAGTTGAGCCTGAGCCCACGGGCGGCCGGCAGGGCCGCCATGAATCATATGCGCTGGTCTTTAAACGGCCATGTGAAACATGAGCTGTTGCGCCGACAATTGAGAGCTAGGACAATTGAAACTCGAATACACAAGCTACCTATGGTGGGTGTCGACGGTATCGACCGCGTCACGGTCCGGTAACAAATCTGATTGACCGGTGTCACGCGTCGCGACAAATGTTGTACGCAGTACTAACGACCGTACTCGGCGGTACTTGAGAATTGGGTCCGAGTTCATGAAT